TACGTATTGCAGTCAAGGAGAATGCAGCTTTGACACAAATTTGCTCTGAAATGGAGCATTGTTCAATGCAGTTTTTCAAACTCAACATGGTGCCCTGGAAGTGCTGCTCTTTCCGCAAACATGGACACTCCTGAACCTAGGATGCATAGCCTGGCTAGTGGAATAGCTTTTCTGCATTACCAGCTGTGGTGTCTCTCCCTATGAGGAGCTGGGAATGAGCATGTGGTGGGGACAGCAGCCTGCCTGCCTGACTTCTAGTGGGGAGCCAAAGGAAGTTGTGCTTCATATTGCACAACAGCACCTCTCTGTGGACATTTTGGGAGCTGCATTAATAGGCTGTAAATTGGGGGGCCTTGGTTATATTCTTTGTCCTAGCACTCCTCATTCCTGGATCATGCAGTCTTTCACTAAGGTGAGTAAATTATCCTTGTTTTACAGAGCGGATAAGGCCAGAATTTTCAGAAATGACCTCCAGTTTGGGAGCCTTAGTTTGGGACATGTTGGCTGTGCAGCTGCCACCTCTAGTTTCCATTGCTTTCATGCAGAGCTGTGGATCCTTAGCAGCTCTAATACGGACCCTCACTCTTCCGTGCTACACTCCTCAAAAGTGGAGTAAAGCCCAAATTTTGAATCAAGTGACTTGCCCACAGTCAATTAGCGCATCGATGGCAGAGGATGGAACAAATCCAGGCCCTGAACTCCCAACCCAGTGCTCATATGACAAGCTTTCTTATAGGCAGGACTGTAGTTAGCAGGGTAGTGCAAAGTAAAGGAGACATGGACAAGGAGCAATCCTCTGGCAGGCTCCAAATACCCATTGAAGCCCAGAGCAGCTGCCAAACACTCTGTCATACCAACAACACAGTTTTTCTGGTGACTTTGAAGAGCCTACATCCAGTTTTTAATGGATATAAGTAAAATTCTCACAGGCTCATTTTAGAGGCTCATCATATAGCATGTGCTCAAGTTCCTTCACATCTGCTGCTCTAGATGAAAGACAAAATTGTGGAGTTGGAGTAAGGCATTATTCAAGCTCATTCTTTTACCTGTCTTTTGCCATATTTATATTACTCCTTTCCTCTTAATGTATTTGCTAAAGAGCACCCCAAGGACACCTCTCAGGTTATAGTTCATCTGTTTGTTATGGTGTTGAGAATGGTCTCAACAGATTCCTTTCCAGGATCTGGTCTACGCCAAATAATTTAAAAACAACAAGACCCTAGTTAAGCCTCCAAATATGGGCTAGGTTCCCCCATACTCCTTCCCTGAAAGAAATGGGAGACACAGTGCTTGATAATTCAGTTTTAAGTTTCAGTTTAAAAACAGAGTGGGAATAAAATCTTGCCACTTTCAGCCTTTTGGCCATCCTACTTGGCTTGTTCTCTTCATTCCCTACTGCCTTTTTTGCCTGTTTTGGGGGAAAGCCTTCATACACAGAGCTCATCTGTACCCCATAGTATGAACAGCTAAAGATAACATAGCACCTCTCCAAGTGCCAGACTCAGCTTCAGTGTAAGCAGACACAACACCAAAATCAGGCATTTTCCCTTCTTATCCTATGCTTCAACTGGGCCTGCTGATCCTAAAGAATATTTAAGGCATATATGAATCACCTGAATTACTACTGACCTAAGCCAGAGGTCTCCAAGCCTAAGACTAGAACCACTGGCTCTCCCAGTCTGCCTGCTAACAGCTGAACTGCTCTGTGTCCTGATGGCACCTCTTTAAGACACTGTCCCACAGGATATGTCCCTGCATTTAAAAATATTCTCCCTTATACTCAGCAGAGTTAATGGGGCATCATCTAGTCACAGACCATGGTGCAGCATGTGAACACAATGCCATTAGATGCAAATGAATAGTGCAAACAGTATGTAGCTTACCTGGCATGTTGATAGGTGTTGGGTGTGATAAATATCTAGCCTGCACTCCCTGGTTAGCCCCCAAATCCTTGAGTCATTTGCCCTGGTGGGGCAGGAATATTTTTGCTGTGTGCCTCCTTTGAATAGCCCACAGGCAGCCCATTTACATCTCTAGTCATCCTGCAAAGAAATAGAATAAGTGTTGGTGAGACAACCCAGGATGGTAATAAACTGTGTTTTCCATTTGGATGCCCAGATCTCTCAGCTAGAAGGAATTAAATCATCAGTCCATCTATCCTAATATCCTCATTTCAGCATAGGAGGGCAGAGGCCAATAAAAGTAGAAGGCAAAGGAAGATGATTAAACTCAGAGGAACAACTACACAGTAGTTCATTGTTGTTCCCAATAGGTGGAATTTCTCACATCTCAGGCAGGTGGTCAGTTTATGCCCTGAGGCATGACATTTGATTTCTTCTCTGAAGTGTGAAAGAAAGACCCTGACTGGTACAATAAATGGCACCACTGGGCCAGGCAGTGTTCTGAAACTAGCTGCACATTTTATGAACCTGATGGGTCGGGAACTCAGTTGTTTTTTGGGTCACTTACCTTGACTTATGAATAAGAAGGAGGGGGGTGGAGGGACGCAGCAGAGGAGTGCCATTCTGAGACAGGCAGAGTGACAGACCACTAAATTAGTGGCTGATGTATTGACAGAGCTTTGAAAACAGGTTTTTATACCCAGCTCACCATCATAGTATTGAGTGTCATTAAGAGTGTCTCCTTATCTTAGAATATATTTGTAGATTTCTTCCTGAATGGTTGTCTGTAGATTTTCTTCTTAAATATTAACTATCGTAAGTAGCTACATAGGGGGTGCAGCTACATGTGCAATTAATGTGACTGAATGTACTCTGGTGCAATTTGCACTGGAGTAAACTAATCTAGGCACAGCTTCTGAATGTGCACCTAGTGACAGGAACAAATTGAGCCTGAGTGGAGCAGCTTAGATGCTGGTCCCCTGCCGACTTGGCTGATAGGACACAATTTGTGCTGGCGTCACCGTCTACACGTACATTTAACTGTAGTTATTTACTCAGACATAGGATAGTACTTGTGTCTGAAGGGACTATTCTACACTGGAGTAAATTAGTCTACTTCACCCTAACTGTGGTATACACATAGACGGTGATGGTTTACTACAGAGCAAATTAGTCTACTCTGCAGTAAAGCACACATGTAGACATGACCAGGGAGGATGAGAACACCAGGAGTATTTTACAGGGGAGAAATGACTTCTGACTTCTCTCTGAGAAGGACTAGATGGGACCTAATCACTTTTTCCATCTAATTTCTATCCATCTGAGTTTCATGACCACAAGTACTTCCTCACACTTGGAAGCTGAAGCCTAGTGAAAGAAACTTTTCACTATTTTTCCTTGTAGTATCTTGTTGCATCCAGCTCTAGAAAGAGTTCAGAGAGCTTGTCCCAGACATCCCTGCAGGCATATAGCTTTAATTTTCTTTGGTCAGACCTACAGGGCTTAACGTATTTTTGAGCCTCTGGAAAGTAAAAGGAAATCCCAAATAAAGTAAGCCATGTTTTAATAATTAATAATAACAGCAACAATAATAAAAATGTATTTATATATAATAATTATATAGTATGTTGTATAATAACTTTATATTATATAAAATATAATAAATATTATTATAATACAATTATAATAAAATTCGTCCAGAGCTTTCCCCACTCATCCTTGCAGGCATATAGTCTTAATTTTATATGGCCAGACCTACAAAGGGCTTCCTTCAGGATTCTTTGCTGATGCTTAGATCAGCTGCTCTTAGGTCAATTAAGAGAGTTTCTTTAGACACACAGGCCATATCCACACGTGCATGGACGTTTGGTTCCCCAGGGCAACTAGCAGTGGTTTACCTATGTACAAGGTGCACTGTACAAGGAACTTGCACCACATGGCAAGTAACTTGCCATGCCCTCTGGTGCACGGCAAGTTACTCTGGGTGGGGTAGGAGAGCACTGGGCTGGCACCAGCAGCCATATCTGGGATCCTGGGGGCACTGGGCTGGCACTGGGCTGGCACTGGGCTGGCCCCAGCAGCCATACTTGGGGTCCTGGGGGCCTCCCAGGGCTGCAGTCGCAGCAGGAAGCCTGGCTGGCAGCCGCAGCATGGCTCCAGCCAGCCAGGCTCCAGTTTTGAGCAGTGAGTGCTGCCCACGCATACACCACTCCACTTTCTTTTTCTGCTATCCAGGAGTCAACCTCTTTCCCCCCTCCCCCCCACCCCCTCCCCCCCC